GTCTTAGGTCAGGGCATAAAGCCTGACACACAGAAGGAACTCATCTATAACATGAGGCTAACACAGTGCTGGACCAGAAACAGGCTCAAACAGAGACTGTGTCCGAAAGTGACAAGGGACAAGGCTGAAGAGCACTGTATCCTAATGGGCCCTGTAGACACTGGCTTTCATCATTAGGGCAATGAGAAAATGTTCAAAGGTTATAAATCAAGGATCATGGCCAAATTTTTATTTTAGAGATTTTTCTCTTAATAAAAGTACAGAAAAGATTGAAAGCAGGGACAGATAGATGAACTGAGTTTTTTTCAGATTAGATGGTTAACAAATGCTCCTCAAAAACCATAAACAAAAAAAAAATACGTAAAAAGAGAAAAGAAGATAATGCAATAAATATAACAGGTCATGTCTCTCATACACAAAGAGATTTGGAAACTTAAGAAAACACTAACAATGCAAAAGAAAAATGGATCAAGATTCAAAATTCACAGAAAGAAAAGAAATGGTCAGTAAGAAAGAAAAAAATATTTAAGCATTAAGATTTTTAAAACACAAATTTAAATAATTACAAGTCACTAATTTAACCCCATCGGACTGGAAAAGACGGAGTGAGTAGATACTTTAATACTGCTGTTAGTGATGAAAAATAATGAAAATATTCTGGAAGCAATTTCACAGTAGATGTCAAGAGTCTCCAAAAATATTACATTGTCAATCTAGCAATCCACTTCTTTAAATTCATTCTAACATAATAATTAGAGATGCAAATATTTATAAGCCAAAATGTTCAATGTAGGATAATCTGTAATAGAACAAGGAGAACAATCTAAATATGAAATAATAGTAGGGCAGCTACATAGCCCTGCAATGGGCTATTAAATGCAAAAAAAGAGAAAGGGTTTGCTACACGATATTAAGTATTTGTACTGTACGGCTTTCACAGTACAAAGCCGATAAGGTAATTTGTATGTGCAACCTGCATTTGTATAGATGAATTAATACTAGTTAGGTAGGCCACTAAACATGAACAAAAGATTAATAGAATTAAAGGAAATATACAAAATCATTAACAATGGTTATTATCTTTATTAGAAGTTTTCTGTATTAAAAAAGAAAAAACATAGTTCTTTAAGCTACTTTTATAATCATAAAGCAAAAAAAAGTTTGGAGAAAAACCAGAAATAATTAATATCACAGAAGCCAAACCAGAGAATTTCAATAAAGCAGAAGATTTACTTTAAATTTTCAAGCAGGCTGGGAGATTTATGGATTTCATTATCCTCAGTGATGCAGATGGAAAGCACAATAAATTTAAAATTGTTTTTGACACATTTCTGCTGGAAGACTGTGGCATAGCTCAGCTTTAGGATTCTAATGCGTGTGGTGAGCCTTGCCGCCCTGCAGAAAACCACCCTGGAAGAGATGGGCCGCTATTCTGACTCAGACCAGAGGAATGTCATCTTTCCTTTCTGCATCGAGATACTGGCGTATTATCACCTCATGTGTCATAGGAACACTAATTTCAGTGACTAGTTTATAAAGCACAGGCTAGAGAGTCCCAAAGGCACGACTCTCATTCTTCAAGGAAAAAGCCTACGCTATGTACAGCATAAACTTTTTCCATTTCCTCAATTTAATGACAAATTCTGTTGTTCACCCCTATTCACTCAGCTTAAGCAGAATCATGGTCTCCTGAGTGTAAGGGTCGGGAAGGAGCACCATTTAAAAATTCAGAATGGGCTGCATTGCCTGATTTGGAAAAAGAGTTTTTTTCCAACCTCATAACTTACTTGTTGTGTGAGTCAACTAGAAATTCTGGACTGAGCAATTCAGTTCCGGGTTTAATAATTACTGAGATTCCTGGAACACTTTTAAACATACATGATCTCAGCTGCTAACTTGTCTAATTTACACGTTAGTCTAAAGAAGGCAAAATTCTGTACAACATGCCAACCACGCGAGCACTTACTCTACGCACCAGGATCGTATCTGATATGTCAGAGAGGTTCGTGGTCCAGGCCAGCATTCACTGTGTTACATGTAGTGACACGTGACATTAGCATCCCAGTAATTTGCAACCAGGGAGGTTCCTTTCATAGTTTTGTGACACAAAGACTGGGGTCAGCTCTGGCTCCATTCCAGGTCTTCATTCTGACTTCAGGCTAAAGACGCAGCTCTTTCCAGAACTAGTGCCTCTCCTGGCAGGGGTGGGAGCAATGACAAGACCACCTGGAGGGCCCTTAAACCCCCCGCGCAACATGCGTGGCACTTTGTATATATTTCATTGGCAAACACAAGTCCAATAATGGACAAAACTGATATAAATGGGACATGAAAGTCTAATCCTCCTATGAGAAAGGCAAGCAATGACTGAGAACAACCCTACAACCCCCCACACCCAGTATCTATATAAAAACATAGCTTGCAATGCATGGATGGCTTCATTAGCAAAGGATTCAGGTACACTGAAAAATGTTGAGCAATTTGGCACGATCAGGAGGGAAGTTAGAGAAGGCAGACACAGACGCAGGCTGGTTCTAGAATGAGAATCTCTAAACATTTTACTATACAATTAAGCTAAACATAAACTTAAACACAAATCCAGAATACTCTATCAATTTGTTTCCAGATCATCTCCCTTCCCCCACTCACCCATCCACTCAATTCATCCAAGTAGCCTGGTGGCTAACTCTCATTCCAGGATCTGTAGGTTTTATCCAATATCTCATTTGTTCTTGCTACATGGCTCATTTATTTATTTAAGGGTCCTTATTTTCTGTTCCTGATGAAGTACTCAGTCAAAATCCCTCTGAATACAAAGTATGTCAAACTGCTTTTTTTTTTTTCTTAAATAGAACTCTGTTTCTTTCAATACACACTGCAAATAATTGGCTTCCAGCTTTACTTGTTAGGCCAGAAATGATTTGCCTGTTCATCCAGCTATTTCTCTAAAGGGAGCGCCAATTCCTACATCTGTATTCTCTGACCTCAGCTTTCTGTGCCTGTGATGAGGCAAGGCACATCTTAAAGTTACTTTGGTAGGAAAATGAATTTCTTGATTGCAATCTAAGTTAAAATATATTCCTCCATTGGGTAGGGATATCTAATCTGTGTTGTTTCCTACCTTATGTTTTTATATATGATCCACCCACATCTTGTCTTCCCTCTCATCTCAAGTGATCTTCCTATGAACCATCTCCTGCCCAATGTCATAAAGGCTACATACACTTGCTCGTGTGATAACAATGAGCCATACTCTAATTGTGTATATTCCTAGAATGGCACATTTCTTACAGACTGCCAGATATCTCCAATTCTACTGCCTCTTTAGAAGAGATCTGTCTCTATTTGAGCTTTTCTCTTGGATATAAAACATCTTAATTATTATCTTTAACACTGCTGAAAGATCCAGTAGAAGTTAAGGAGTCAAGGAACCTGGCTTTCTAGTGCTAGAAAACTTGATCTAATCTCTTACATGAAGGTCTAAGAAGATTGATTTTAGTCACCATTGCCATTCCATCTGATTATCATTATTTCTTGTAACAGTTAATAATACTGACCAAGATATTAATCATCATAATCCATGGCTTAGTCATATATTCAATGGGCCTACACACATATTTCTATTACCATCAATTGAAAGTTATGTTTTATCATTTGGGAATTCACTTTCTCAGAGCTGCCAAAAGACTTCTTCGTCAACAAAAGAAATTTAATATTCATCTCAAGAGTGTTCGTCTTGAATCCGGGGAATGCTTGGTCCTCCCAAAGATTTATATTAATGCATTAGGTTTGTAAGAACTTGCCTATCCCTCTTCTTCAAACTCTAGCACCTACAAAATAGCGCCTCAGTTGGAAAAGCTCCTCTCACATGTTTGTCCTCATCTTCCCACTCCAGAAAGGCAGTTTAAGATCAGAGCTGGCATCTCTGGCATCAAGTGGCATTTGATAGTTGTGCTGCACGTACCCACTGTAATTTTCTAGATTTTGAGATAGTTTCCAACACCTCATCTGAATTCTATTCTTTGCTCGGTTCTTATTTGAACCGTAAACCATGAATTTTTTATCTACCCATGTTCTCCTGCTCTCATTGGATATTGAGAAACACCCCAGGCTGTACAACCTAATCAGTTTATCACGTCTACGTGGCTTGGCTTTTTCCTTCCAACCTTAACCTGTCTAGTTAGAATCTAAACCTAACTCTTACCCTCCTGGTCAGCCCTCCAGGTTGGCCTACAGTCTTAGATTTTTCATGTCAGTTTTAGGCTCAAAGCTCTATCTACTGACCCAAAGTTAAGTCCTATTTCTGGATCCCTGTGACCTTTCCCATCCTGGAACCAGCCACTCCAGTGAGCATTTTCTCTGTGACTCAGAATAAAACAATGAAGGGATGACCACACCACTGTTGGGCATTACCAAAACATGCCTCAATGCGGTACATCTATACAACAGAATACCATTCAGCCATAAGAATGAAATACTGCTATTTGTGACAACATGGCTGGATCTTGATAGTATCGTACTGAGGGAAATAAGTCAGACAAAAAAGGACAAGAACTATATGATTTCACTTAAATATGGGATAGGAAACAGAAAGTAACAAAATAAACAAATTCATAGACACAGACAACAGTATGCTGGTTACCAGAGGGGATGGAGGTGGCCGGAGGATGAAGAGGGTCAAGGGGGTGAAACATATTGTGACAGAATGAGACGGGACTTCGGGTGGTGAGCACACAATGCAGTATACAGATGATGTATTATCGAACTGCACACTTGAAGCTTATCTAATGCTATTAACCAATGTCGCCCCAATAAATACAATTTTAAAAAACACTCTTCAGGTGTACACATCTAAGTGTGAAGTGGTGTGCGTGTGTGTGTCACTGTATAATATTCACAGCTTTGATTCAGACTTTATTTTTAAATTGCATTAAATATTTTTTCAGATTTTTAAGTGATTTTGACCAATCAAAATAAACGGATTTCTCTCTTTCTTTTAGATGGTCCAGTAGTCTATTCAGCATACTTAAAAATGGAGCACAGCGATGAGAATATCAAATTCTGGATGGCATGTGAAAGCTATAAGAAAATTGCTTCACGAAGGAGCAGAATTTCTAAGGCAAAGAAGCTTTATAAGATTTACATCCAGCCACAGTCTCCTAGAGAGGTAACCACCTGACAGTGACAGCAAATGGAAACCAAGGTGTTAATACCTGTCGAGCACACATATGCACCAGACTTTTACACCCAGTATCTCCCATAATGCTATAAGGTCTGTATCGTTAACCTGGTTTTACAAGTGAGAAACCTGAGAATTTGAGAAGTTAACTAACTTGTACAGTTTCATACGGAAAGTTAGGATTCAAAGTGAAGTCTACCTGGCTCTGAAGCCTATCCTTATCAAATTATTTTAGTTCTCAGGAAAGTTATTAACAAAGTCCCTCCAAGAATAACTGGCGTTTTTAGAAGGAATAAGATACCTTCGACAGGCATGTTGACCTCCCTGCTGGTACTGGGCAACGTCTGCCACCGCACCAGAGCTCACTGCCCACCTGAGTTAAAACCAGCAAGTTCAGCAAGCATTCACACTGCTGTCACTGCCAGTCATCTACGACCGTCTCGAGGAAGGAGTCGGGAGTGAAACAGAACACCGAGACTCCGCCTGGTGGAGAGAGAATGAAGAATGACAATTCCCTCCAGGGAAAAGGGGTGGGGACCGGTGTACGAGATTCCTATTCACCCACGACAGTCCTGCCGAAGTGGTTGGTTCCTCAAAACTCGTGTTCGAAACATACTTGGTTTATGGAAATCGCCACTTCTCGCCTCCATTTCTCCACTTCCCTTCACCTTCTTCCCATTTCAGGGCATATTCAGTTAAATCAACACTCGTGACTATTAAGAAAGATATAGTTTAAAATAGCACCTACTTCTCTTTTTTTCCTTACAAAAGAATGCCACCGCATAAACTTCCTGGTTTGTAGACTTGGCTGACAAGCCACTTACAATCTACTAAGTAAGCAGTGGTTGCAGAGATTTCCCTGGTCTTGGGCCTCATGGTATTTTTATCCGGATGTGGAGGTGGATGTTTACTTTTTAAAAAGCAAAGAGTTTATCTCCTATATCTTTGAGATATCTATGAAACTGCAAACAAAATAACCCTATTCCACTGGAAGGTGGGGGGGTGGGGACAAATGAAACCTTCCTGTTATATGTTCATCTTTAATTACTGATGCTCTACATGTGATTTCGCCTTTCAGATCAACATTGACAGCTCAACAAGAGAAAACATCTGCAGGAATATTCAAGAACCCACTCAAACATGTTTTGAAGAGGCTCAAAGAATTGTGTATATGCACATGGAGAGAGACTCCTACCCCCGATTCCTAAAGTCGGAAATGTACCAGAAACTTCTGAAGACTATTCAGTCCAGCAGCAATTCTTGACAGCCACTCAGAAGTTAAAACTGAAGATGGTATATTGAAAGACTGGCTTTGTTCTTTTAATTTAAAAAAAAAAAAAATCACACATGAAATGAGAAACAGAGTAGAAATGGCATAGGAGAAATCAAAATATAAATTGATTTCTAGTTCACAAAGAGAAACAGATCCCAAAAGGGATGGACTTGACGCCTCTTACCACATGAACAACAGAGTTTTAGTATGCTCTGTGGCTCAGCGAACACATAAGGAAAAGGAAGGTCTTGCTCCACGACACCAATATTACAAGGTTCTGACTGTACACATCAACTAATGCATGTTTTCTCATTAATGAAATTTTGTTGTCATGGTGTACTGACTCGCCTATAAAAGTTGTAGCTATGTGAGTTGTGTCTCTAGCGTGACTGTATTCTCTCCTGCTCTAAATAATGTTAGTTAATAGACAAACTTGGTACCTACGGTGTAGTCAACTATGTTATATCACGAACTGTATCAAAATGATGTGTTCTTGAGAGATATTTCATGTGAAATTTTTTCATTATGTTCATAACTGAACTTCTATATTTCATATATCTCCTACAGGTGAAAAATTCCCGAAGATTCTAAGCTATTAAAAATGTATGAATTTCTTCACTTATTTCTATACTTTTATTGCTATAAGGGTAGAAAATTTGGTTCCTATACTTTGAGATCATTTTCCTCACACTGTGAATTAAACATGATCCCGATAATCAATAAACCGAATAGATATAAATTAAAAACTTACAAATATGTGTTTTTTCAAAGATACAACAAAGTTATTTTTCCAGTTAAAGATTGTTTTTATCTGTCCTATCATAGCAACTTCTTAGAATTGGCCAGAATATTCCAGAAGAAAGAACTCATGTCTACTTCAGCTTGTTTAGCACAAAGATAGGATAAATGCTCCATACAAAGGGATAAATATCTACACTTTTGATAAAGAACAAAATACCTAAAATATTTAATATCATTTTTCCAAAGAATTAACTTTAGAAAAATTTTGTTCAAGATCTTTAGTTTTATATGAAAAGTGTTTTTTAAGTCTTGAATTTAACCGAAATATCATTACTATTTTTAAATGCCTAGGAAACTATGCTGTATCACATGAAAATGAATATTAACTGGAATTCTTCTCATTAAACAAAGGATTATTATAACAGAATAAATATTTGGGGGTTCATTCATTTCTGAAAAAGAAAATTAGCTGTGCAAAAGAATATTTTTGTTAAAAAGTACATGGTTGATTAATACACTCAGTTAAGTAAAAGGTGTTGCCACAATATTCCAATTTTACCTAAATCATTGAATTTTATTTACTTTTTCTTAAAAATGCTAGTATATGAATACAGGTTGAAGTCTTATATACCTGAACTAGATGATGATCTCCAGCCACAATAAACCAGAAAAAAACCATTTTTTTGCACATGTTTCAAAGAGTCTCCTCATCTCAGTCCATCAGTCAATGAGCATATTTATGGGCAGGTAGGAAAGTTTACACGCACGTGGACATAATACACATGGTCTAGCAGCTTCAGAATTCTTTGGACCTTTCTCATTCAAATGGTACTAAACTGGCCAAACACTGATAGAACTAATAAATGAAATTAGAAAAGCCAGCATTCCTTACTACTTATTGCTCCCCTTGTACTCAACATAGGGTACCTCTGGAACATTCAGTTGTGCTTATGCACTGATTCTACCTCCCACATACAGTCCCTCTGCTCAGCTTTCTAACCTTCATTTCATGTTGGGTAAACAAGGTGCCACATGGTGACATGAAACAAAAGGCTTTGGGCTGAGGTACAAAGCCATTGGGTTAGTGCATGTTCGCTCATCTGATGTCCTCGTACCCTTAGTACCAGTCAGCCTCAGTTTCCTCTCCTATAAAATAATAAGGTGGGACAGCTAACTCAGTGAGCCGCACGCAGTGCATGTCTTGTTATATCTCGTTCCTCCAAAAACTGACGTTATCGTGAAGAAGTAGGTAATGAACTACATATCTTGTGTTTAACACTGGTTAAGGCAGTTCTGAATTTTTTAACTGAAAAACAGAATTTAAACTTAAAGTGCTATCTGTTCAAGAATTCTACATGGAAATATGTTTCATGCTACTGACAATTAAATTGGTTTTCAGATCATTTTAACTTAATAATATCCTAAATCTTATTTATTGTTCTTAGACTATTTTTATATTAATATTTTATTATAACAATTTAAAAATTGATAATATTTATCAAATGGCTACAGAGATGTGCCCACAATAACACATTCTTACATATTTGTTTTATCCATAGTACTTTGAGATTAATTCATTAAAAACATATTGTTAGATTTCTGATATCATAATCCAGATGTATTTATGATTTTCTTCTATTTTTAGACAAATATTTTCTAACTCTGATGATGTACAAGATAAGCCTTCATTGTCTCTGCATAAAAATAAAGTCTTATCTTCAAAAGGAGATAGTGACAGAGGTTTGCACAATTCAGATTCAAGCATCTTGGCAGAGATGAATACTTTCCTATTTATAATTCATCAGTCACACTATCATTTCATCAACTACAAAGGGCTTTTTACCAATTTTGGAATAAAAGAGATACATGAGGCTTTCTTCAAAGACATAATGAGGTGTGATTTGAAAGAAATCATAAGATCCCACTGCTCAAAATATCTTCCCTATCTCTAGGACATGAAATTCCCATCACTGGGCAAAGAAAATGAAAAATGGCATCTGAATTCATGTTTTAAGTGAGGAGTGAAACCTAGTGCTGAACTTCACCTGCTGCTGAGCAGAAAGCAAGACTTGGGAAAATAGAATTCACACAGGTAGAATGGCATAAGAAAAGAGGCTGAAAGAAGAAAGATATTAGAGTAACTAGAGGTCACCAGATCCCAAAAAGGATGTGGACATTTGAGGGAAAATGAAAACAAATTGCTTATTAAAATCTCTGTATGCTCTTAACAGAAAACCAAAGTGGAAGAGGGTGCTTTCTTTAAAAAGCAAGTATTCAAAATTGCTTATTATATAATATAGTTCAGTAGAAAAATGAATAGCCTTCCTATAAAAGAGTGTTAAATTCCTCAGCAAACAGTATTTATAGAAGTATTCCTTTAATAAAAATCGAAGTGCAGATATTATACATACAAACATTAATGAGGTAAGGTTTCTGTGCTCGAGGATGTGTGAGCTGATCATTAAAATACAAAATAATAAGGGCTAAGGTGACAGACGTACAGAGTGCTGTGGAATCAGCAGAAGCATTGACTTCTACCCAGCAAAATTTGGAAAGAGCAGAAGAGGTGATGTTTAATATTATCCCTGATGAATAATGAATAGATTATTCAGAGGAAAGGAGAAGGCAGTTGGATTGGAACAAGCGCTGAAGAAGAGAAATCCTGTGGCGATGAGGAAGGTCTAAAAGATGGCAGAGGCTCTGGAATCAGACAGATTGAAGTTCCCGTCCTGGCTGCAACAGTTAGTAGCTTTGAGAATTTAGGAAACTAATTTAGGAAGTTCCCGTCCTGGCTGCAACAGTTAGCAGCTTTGAGAATTTAGGAAACTGCTAACCTCTCAGAACACTGTTTTTTCTTCATCTGTAGAATAACAGTATCATTAATAACATCTACCTCATGGCCTCTTGGATACTTACGTGCATACAAAGTCCTGATACTGCGTTCAGTAAAACTTGACTGTGTTACGAGCTACCATGAAAGTCCAAACGAGAGACAGTGATAGCCTGAGCCAGGCAAATGAGGAAAGAGAGACATTTCTGAGAAAGTGCGAGCTGATCAGATATGGTAAATGATGGCGGATCCAGGCGGATTCACAGTTCCTAATTTGAGCGTCGGGTAAAGCCAGGTAGCACTAACTGAAAAGAGTGGGTGGGGGGATGGGCAGGTTGAGAGACACGCTGAGTGTGAGGCACCTGCACGCCTGAGCGAGACCCCAGGGAGAGGCAGAGAGCAGAAGTGTCGGTGCTGGGACTGCAGCACGGCCGAGTCACTGACCAGAGGAGATATTACAGGGGAACTGCAGAACAGAGAGTAGAAACCCAAAAGACCCCATTAAACCTTAGGGGGAAAAGAAAAACCTATTACTGACTCTTAAATTCTCACCGTAAGCTCCGAGGACTTTTAGAGTAATGCTAAATCACCGTGTATTTAGTTTTGCTATAGGACGGATATTGTGCTTAGTGTCTGGATACATTATTCATGCATTCACCAAACAGTTACAGAGCACCTACTGTATGCCAACATGGTTCTCAGAGATAATCACCAATAATTCAAGAAGAAACCACGGCCTCCCCCACAGAGCTGGCATTGCCTTTGTGTAACAACGTAGTGATCAAATAAACATCACATCAGATGATGATGGGTACCATGAGGACAGGAGAGCGAGACCATATGATAGAGAGAGGTGGGGGCAGAGTGGGGTGCACTGGAGAAAGTAGTCAGGGGTCCTCTCTACAGAGGTCAAATGCTCCCCCTACCTGACAACCCAATTCAAGCGTGAGGAATCCAAAGCTGTGAGAAGTTAAATAACTTTTTCAGTGTCTCTCACCTGAAACCAAGATGTTCCTGGTCCTAATACCTTAGCCGTTATAAGTACAACCTCCCACAAACAAGCCAAATGGAAAAGAAATATAAAATGATGTAATATATAACAATATGTATTTGAATTTAAAATGCCATTGCCTATGCAGACTGTCGTAAATTGGAAGGTCACCATTATAGCTATTTCTAATTAGCACTGCTAATAAACTCATAATTGGTTTAAAACGCCGTTGACGCTTAGGTCTCTGAGAAAAAAGAATCGCCAGGTGACGGATGCAATGACATCCAAGTGCCACTGAGAGGATAAAGCACCTTCTCTTTAATTAGCAAATGTGTGGATTCAGCCAGGCATTTAAACACAGAGATCTGTGGAAGTGAGGGGAGGCGAGTCCCAAGTTACCAGCCTGTCAGGAGGCTAGAGGCCGCGGTC